TGATGAACTAGAATTAACCTTAACTGGAAAGTTATAACTAGGTTGCCTGGTTAACTGAGGGTTAATTAAAAAGGAAAATACACCCCTGCTTTCATCATTTTTAAAAAATGCTTTGATCTTTTTGGTTGAAAATCTTTTAAAAATATGCATTTTCCCTTTCTGCTGAAACTCATAGCGCATTCTTCATTCACCAAGATTCCCCACATCCCCACATGTAAAGGGTCTTGAAGGTCCATGATGCGGTAATTTCTAATTCTGCTGGCATGCAGGAATAGACCAGTGAGCTGGTGAGGGCAACAGCTTGGTGTCTCACATTGACTGTAATGTCCTGTGGTCATCTTGAAAGCATGGGCCCTCATGAAGTGAAAAAAAAATTTAATTTCTTGGTGGAAAATCACTATTGAGTGAGAGAGAAAACTTTAGTGGAATCTGAGTATGTGATTAACTTGTCTTATACAGATAAACATGGGAACCAGATGGTTTTTTATGGAAAATATGATTTGGGAGAAAGCAAAAGTCAGAATACATACTTCTAAAGTTGCAGACTTGGGGGTTTAAAGTCTCAGGGCAGAGCTTTTTTGAATGCTGAGGGTCTACACTACAGATAGCAAAACATTGGATTCTCGATGACGAAGATGAAGGTGAGGCCTCAGAATCATTTCTGTGGCTTCGAGATGAGGGAGACAGATGGAGAGGGTGTAGGAAATTGGACTGTGTTCTAACTTCAGAACAATTTAACAATTCAATTCTTGGTTTGGTCATTACTTGTTCCCTGAGCCTGAGAGAGCAATCTCTAGAGATGAAAACAATACAAACACTTAATCAATTGTTCAGATTTATTACATTCTACTCAATCCTTGAATTACTGTATAGCTTTATGAGGAGCTGCTTTACTCAATTAAAAAGAAACCAGTAACTTGGATTTAATTAACAAGAAAGGTTAAACCTAATGAAAGGTTGTTTTGAAATTTTACATAGTGCATTCTCTATGTGAACAGAGCCAGAAAGAATATGGTCACCACATGGTTACTTTGTTAGGAAGATGATGAAGATGGGTTAGTGGTTTGCTAAAGGCAGAAACCACATAGAAGGAAAAGTGGAATAAAAATAGGAGTAAAGCATAATATTCCATTGTTTCTTCGTATTTTGCTCCTGTTGCACTCCTCACCCTTCCATTCTGCAGTCAGACAAACAAGGGGGAAGAAGTCACACCATCTCTCATTCCATTATGTCTCCATATACATACATTTAGATATATCCCTGGAAACTAAATTCATAAGGGAAACCACTGAACCAGCAATGCTTAGGCTGTATGTGCAAATGAATGCTATCTGTGCAATGTGCTATGACTTAGGCAACAGAATGTCTCCTGGGGGAGACTAATCTTATGTGGGACAGTGACAGAGACCAAAGCCTTCTTGCAAACACCATGGATCTATGGAGACCCAAGACACCCATGCATGTTTACCTGGGGAGCCTGCCAGAGAGTCCCCTCTGCTGAAGGTGAAGGTACGAGACACAGAGACGGGCACTAAAGAATCAAGAGCCAAGGATTTGTGAATTGCGAAGGGAAAGATAAACAAAAAAGGAGAGAGACAAAGAGCATGGGTGAGACAGTTTGTTCCTGGATCTTCACGGCATCACATTTCTCTGCAAAAGGGAATCCTGCCTCTGAAAACATGGAAATTGCACCTTCTTACAAAGTCGCTCTCCAGAAAGAGAAAAAGCAAACAGAGTTTTCTGAAGGTCTAAAAAAATTAAGAATAATTTTTGAGGGAATCAGACCTGCCAATGTCAGGACAGGCAGTGCTCCAGTGGGAAGCACGCATATGCGACATTCCCTCTGAACCAGCAAATCTGGAGGGAGCCCAGCACTGCATTCCCGCCAGGCTCTCCCAGCTGCCACATGAATCTGCTGAAAGTAAAGTGCGGGTTCCTGCTAGGGGCATCTTCAAGGAAGCTGCATCCTGCCCGGGATGCCTAGGAGCTTCCTCTGTGGTCACAGTGTGGGGAGGACCCGTGTGTTCATTGCCCAAGGCTTGAGATGCAGGAAGGGCAGCATATCCAGTATCCTAATGTGAATCAACCTGATGAATTAACTCCGTCACTTTTTAGCAAGTATGCGTGCTCCACAGCATCTCTCTTCCTGTCCTCTTTTCCTTTTCTTTCTTTCCCCACAGGGTCTGTCCGAAATGGCATTGGCTATCACTCGGGGCCTGGGGTAGGGTGGAGTGTGTAGCAATACTCTAATCTTTCTCCCATTTTGACCATGATCAAGCAGTGTTTCTGCTTGGAAATCTGTCTTCTTCGCTCTTATCTGATCATTCCGAGTCCCTTCCAAGGAACTAAATGAAATTAGTTTACAGGTGACATCCCACTGAAATAATCAGCTTCTGCAGTCTTATTTGCTGCACCAGATGATTACTGACAATGTCCATACACACAGGGGAGTGTGTGTGTATGTGTGGGGAAGAGCTTTATACCTACCTCATAAACATTTACCATGACATGAGATATCAAAGAATACTTGAATGGGCCCCTAAAGTTGTGAGGCACACTGAAATAAGAAACCCCTTAGTCTCAAGAAGAATCCTAGTACTTCTGGGCTGCAAATTAAATGTATACCCTGACAAGCAAACAGGAAACTTTTCTTTTCCCGCCTGCGTAGTCCTGGGGGCTTCTGTTCTGGCTACCTAGGCTTGGGCCCAGTTCCACCAGAGTGATAGGCTTACCATGGTCCTCCTGGGTTTCTTGGTAATCAGAACCAAAATGAAGGAGACAATGCTAGCTGTGTTCCTTTTGCTCTGCACAGAAAAGCCAAAGTGATTTACTTGTACCCTCAAGTTCAACTCTAAGGCATTGGTCACAGGGCCAGTGTTCTGGCAAACTCGTCATCCCATTTATCACCCTCAAAGGCTGATAGAGCTAAAGGCTGGCATCAAGGACAGAGGCAATTTGCTAGACTGAGACCCTGCAAGAGTTCATTGCCTTGTGGTTCAGCCCTAAGTTCTCCTTCGACTTATAGGCCGAGGTTCTTGGCTAGGCAAAGATGCTAGGTGGCTAAACCCTGGGCTGAAAGTCCCCCAGGAACAACTGTAGGGTGTCACAGTCTTTGTATTTATTTCGCACTTTACTCCACTAAGTGGGGAGGGTTGGGGGAGGGAGGATGAAAAATGTCTCTGTACCCCTACAGACTAATTCAATTGTTTTTTGCTCCTGAAGATTGCTAATGATGTTCAGGAGTGTGGGGATGGAAAGAGTTTAGTGCTCCCTTTTAGTTAACCAGTTTTGAAGGAGGGATCAGTGTTGCAAGTTGATTCTTGTATCACTGATAAAATGGAAGGATTCTGATAGAACTAGAGGAAGAAAGGAAGGAAAGGAAAAAGCCAGATAACATCTTCCTACTACTTAAAAATTTTTTTTCAAAAAAGAAGGTCATCTAAATGAGGTGGGCTGGGGGACCTAATAAAGCTCTTTTCCTCTAGGGTTCCCACCTCTCTTGGTCCTCTGGAAGAGCCAGAACAGGGCCAACATGTCTAAGTAGGATTTAGTGACTCTACCCCAAAGTGACTCTACCTTGAGCAATGTGATGGATGGAAATCTTTAGAGAACCAAGATCGACCTGGTCCTACAGTCCATCACTCTCCCATCCAGAGTTCCTCTGAGTACTGATGCTTCCTCTGGCAAACTTGCTTGAGATTTTTTTGGTTTATATAGTATATGAATTTACCACAGTTTTTAAAAATTTTACAGAGCTTCTTCAACTCACATTGGGCTACCCCCCTTAGGTTTGGGCAGCTACTCCAATATCATTTCAGCTCTCTGGGCTAGGATGTGAAATTACAGTGTATATTGTTTCAATATCCCCACACAGAAATTGCATTCTGGAACATGACAGATCTCAAATCTGTATTTCATTGTGCTGTGAGAACTAGTCAGGACCCCGGAATACATCTAGGTAAGTCACTAACTTGCTGGGTGATTTGGAGCAAGTCAATTCTTTAGTTTCTCTATGTTAAAACAGTACCTACTTTTCATGTGCCAAGGACTGTTATATCAAGCTTTGGGACCCTCTTAGAAATCCAATACAAAGTGCTATGTAAAATCTTTTTTATAATAAGAGAAAACACCTCATTTAGCATTAAAATAGCCACTGTAAACACCAACAGCTAAAAGCAATGCAAAATTCAGAACAGTGAGTCAAAAACAAACAAACAAATGAAGAAAACAACAACAACAAAAACCTAGGGAAATAATTCTTTCTGGATCACACATCACAATAAATGTCATGCATTCTAAACACAAATGCAATAATTCTGAACAGGAAACAGCAAGAAGGAGCACAGAAGGGGCATAGCAAACCAGCCAGTAGCCCCCACCATGAGCATGCACAGCCAGCTGGCAGACACCTCTCCACCAGCTGAGATGTGGCGAACGTGGAAAGAAAAGCAGGTAAGCAACATATTGCACCAGCCTGGGACTTATATCCCAAGATCTTGCAGTCACTTCTGACTAACCCCGCAGACGCAATAACAGCATATTAGGTTTTCAAGTAAAGACTAGTGGATGAATTATCATAGCAAGAAGGAAAGACTGAACCTCCAGCAGAGCATACAAATCACCTGCCTTCCCTGGCAGGTGATAATAAATGGTGCCTCCACTCACAACCTCCCTCCCCACCATTCATCACTTGCACATGAGCAGAGAAGCAGCGAACATTCCAGATACACAGAAACGAAGCCCCCCGGTGGTCAGTGGGTACCTGGCAGGAAGCAATGTTCCTGGCAGAGCATTACAGAGAGGCTGCCAGCATTTGTGTTAGCCCCAGCCCAGGCTCAGAGTGCTTGGTCCAGGTCCCCAGAGTGGGCTGAGGCAGGACTACGTTGGGGAGGACGAGGGAGGGGTTTGAGAGATACATACGAAAGACAGAGGATCCAGCTAGACTTCCCACCTTCCGCATGTCGTTATCTAAGGACAGAAGATGCAGTGTGTTTCAGAGGCAATTCAAAAAGCACACCTTGTTATGGAATGCTCCCTCTTCCACCCCACCCCCAGCACCAATGAACCCTGCGAAAACCAGGCAATCAAATGGTAGCACAAAAAGCAAAATAAACTTGTCTTTTCGTATTAAAAAATAGCACTATGTATCCCTAACCTTTGATAACATTGCTGTCTACCATGTACTTTCACAAACAAACTCTGAATGAAAAATGAATCTTATACCTACTTTACAAAAGAGGACACTAGAGCCCAGGAAGTTAAATGGCTTGTCCAGGGTCACTAACAGGAGTCAAGACTTGAACCCAGGTGCTTTTTTTTTTTTTTTTTTAAATGTCCCATTGCTTCCCCAATAAGCTATGGCTTGGGAACTGGAATACCTGAGCAAGCAGTGGTCATGATAGCTGGGACACCATAGTAGGTGAAGGCTCCATTCTCGAAGCGAAGGCCTTCCTTACCCACCTCCACCTCCACTTTCCCCTGGAGAAAGAAAGAAGTGTACTAAGGGTGTGTACTCGCATTTCCAGTTCCATTATTGACTACAGCCCTAAGTACTCTGTCTGGATAACAAGTGGACCTAAGTTCTTATCACAGGGGAATGTGAATTCTGTCCAGACTTATGTTTCAGAAATAGCACCTCCAACTTCAGTAGCCCTTGGCAGTAAATTAATTGCTTAGATCATAAAGCAGCACCCAGTCATAAATAAGCAAGCTTTCCTCGCATACTATAATGGTCCTTCCATGATGCAGGTCCAGGCCCCAGCTAGCCCAGGGCCCTGTAAACTGCCTCGCTGGTTTAGTCGGATATTAAACCATCTGTAAGTCTGGTTGAGATAAAATCTTATTCTGTGTGAGCTTGTTTATCACCACTAATGATGATAGTTAACGCGTAGCATATAGTGTGCACCCATGGGCCTAACATTTTGTTATATGCACAGCCTGGATTCTCATTCATTGGGTCCCACAACCCTACAAGGCCCATACTACTTTCATCACCAGTTCACAGATGAATCAATTTTGAGGCTCAGAGAAGTTAAAAAACTCAGTCAAGGTCAGTTGGGAAGTGGTGTTATTAGAATTTTAAAACTAGATCTTTCTAATTTCTGAAACTACACTCTCGCCACTACATTTCACTCCCACCAACTTTGACTTGAAAAGTTAAATTTACATTAAGAATAAGACAGTAGATTGCATAGGTTCATGATGTTATTTAAACACTGTGATAGGACCCTTTTTGATCCCCAATGTGAAGAATGAGACTCTGTTTTTGGAGAAGGGAGGTCACTTTATTGGGGCTATTTGGAAAGATGGGTGCGAGGCAGACAGAACAGGTGGATTGGAACAAAGGGAAGCCATATCTAAATTAACGTGAGCTTCACTACGATTTTAAGATGATCACTATATTCAAGGTTCAGAAGATTTTGCTGGGAAGAGATGGAGAATAGTGACGAGCAGCATTGGGTGGAGCCAGGCCAGGGTGCCAGCAGTATCCAGTGCTGGAATCATGCTGGACACCTATTTATGGGCCTATCCAGGCAATTAGGGCAGAAGGTGAACACACTTATATATATGAGTTTTGGGGAAATGCTGTGCATCTTTCACTCAGTCATTCATTTCCTTCTGGGTCCTTTTAAGGAGGAGAAGTGTCAAGAGACTGCAAAGGCTGAGATGTTGCAGGGAAGGTGGATATATGTCCTGTGCACCTCAAGAGAGCAGAGCAAGGACCAGTGGGTGGAAGTCAGAGATGTTGAGATTTGCAATCAACAATGAGCAGGGATTTAAATGAGAGGTATCTGAAGTTTTGGAGGCACTGGACAGTTGCATTTCTGGGCATGGCCAAGCAGAAACAAGGTTTTAGGGATTCTGTACAGCAGCAATTTTGGAAGTCCAGCAGCAGAACGCCACTGCTGGAGAGGTACCTGCTGCGCCTCATCACAAACATAGCTGAGTGGTCAGATTAAATGCCATCAAGACCCCACTACTCCCAGGACACCAGCCAGTCATATCTGGCTCCTTCTTTGGGTCATGGACAAATGCCCACTCCACCTGGCCTTGTTCTCAAGGCAGCCAGCTGAGTCTTGGAATTTGGCATTGGGGAGTCATGGCTACTTCTCTCCAGCCTAGGGATGCCCTTGTCTTGCCCTTGGGGTCTCTGATTTTCCCACTCACCTGGAGAAGCAGCACAAAATAGTCCACAGGGCGGTTGCGCTGGTAGAGGTAGTGTTCTGGGGCTTTCTTGTTCTTCTCATCAAACTTCAGCTCCTGGATCACGTGGGGATGTTTCAGGAGCCGGAGCAGGATCTTCTCCGAAAGGTACAGAGACTTAAAGGGCTCCACTTCTAGGGAACAATATGAGGCAGGAGGAATTGGCAGCTGGGAGGAGTCAGGGTGGGCACACCACGGCAATCAGGGCATGTGTCTAGAGTCCCCTCCATTTGAGCTCCAGGCACCAGGCTGGCAGGATTCCTGCGACTCCCTTGGTTGGGGATTCTTAAACCCAGGAGATAGGCCTGTGCCCTATGGAGATGTGTGTCCTTGCACTGGCACCTTAGGAAACACAGGTCACCATTTTGGACATGCCAGTTTTGTTATTAATTTTCTCCTTGATTTTATTTAAAGTTGTGTATGGACTTAAAAAAGAAGGCAATCTTGCCATTTGCGACAACATAGATGAACCTAGAGAACATTATGCTAAGTGAAATAAGCCAGGCACTGGAGGACAAATAGTGCATGATATCACTTATATGATGAATCTAAAACAGTCAAATTCACAGAAGCCGAGTAGAATGCTAGTAGTCCGGGCTAGTGGGAGGGGAAAAAGAGGGGCTATTGGTCAAAAGGTACAAATTTTCAGTTATGACAGATGAGTAAATCCTAGAGATCTATGGCACAGTGTAGTGCCTATAGTTAATACTGTATTGTATACTTTAAAATTTGCTAAGAGGATAGACCTTACATTAACATACAAAAATAGTAATAAATAAAGAGGGTGGGAGGAAATTTCTGGAGGTGATGGATATGTTTTGGCATAGATTGTGGTGATGGTTTCATGGGTGTACACTCATCTCCAAACTCATCAAGTTGTATACATTAAGTATGTACTACATTTATATGTCAATCATACTTTAATAAAGTGATTTCGAAAAAAATAGTTGGGGATGGATAAGCAAGCCATGTAAACAACAAAGGCTTTGATGCTATAATCAAATGAAATATAGAGAATTTAATCTGACCTATTTGTATGACATATCTATTGAATGAAATGAAATTTCAAGTTAATAGAAACGGGTAGTTATTTAAGTGATATGTTCTCAACAATGTGAAGCATCCTTGCATCACATTTACATGTATTATTGTATATTATATTACATTAGCAGATATAGCTGCTTTGCTCTAGGAAATCAGACAGCCAGTAATTAAAAGAAATCTGTATTCAGAACTAGATAAAATGTTGAAAACTCTACTTTAAAGAACTCCAATTTATTTTTTATTTTTTATTAGTAATTATTATTATTTTTTGTTTTATTAGTTTCAAGTATACAGTACATTGGTTAGATATTTATATAGTTTATAAAACAATGCCCCTGAAGAACTCCAATTTAAAATTTTCTACTTTTTAGCACCTAGAACAGTACTAGCATGCATTACGTACTCAATAAATATATGTTGAATAAATTAAACATTGAACTTAGTAATGGGTGTGATCATTCTAGGTCAGCACATTAACTAGGCATAGATGAGGTCAGAGGTCAAAGATGAAGTTTACCTTCTTCACAAGAAGAAGTTTCTCTTTGGGTCTCTTATTTTTCTTTCTTCCACAGATCTCAAAATTCATAATCTACTTCTGTATATAAAGAACTCATATCTCATAGCCCTATAAGGCCCCTGGAGGATCCTGGACCCCAGGGGCTTGTTGCTGGGTAGGAAAACATCTTCCCCTCTGCCACAAACCCTCTGGGGCACCCCAACTCCAACAAGATGGAGGTTGGTCTCAATATCCCTCCAAGAAGTGAGTGAAGGAAGGGAAAAGTGCAGCAGTGGTTTCTTTAGCTCTTTTCTTGAATAGAAGAGAGAAAGCTGAGTTGTATTGTATTTACTTCCTGCCTAGAAGATTAGGCCTGGGGCTAGAAATGACAGTATGTGACAACCTGTCACCCTACCTAATGTAACTTTCTCTGCTGGATCAGTGGATCTCAGTCCCAGCTGCACGTTGGAATTAGGTTGCAAGGTAATAAAAAAGATTAGTGCCTGGGTTCCGCCCTCCAGATTCTGCTTTACCTGCCCGGGGTGAAGACACAGATGGGTAGAGTCATACCTGTGGCCATGAAGCGGTGTGTGGCCAGCAGAAGCTGTGGAGAAATCTTCACCCTCATCTCTGAGTCAGAAAGCTTAAACAAGGAGAAGTCATGGCGCTTTCTCTCCCGGTGTGGGACCCTCTGCTTTTTCCGATTGTCGGCTGCGGATCACAGGGACAGATTGCATGATCTCAGAATCACTGTGGGGTTTTGGAGGTTATCCCAGACTTCCTTTGGGACGACATGAATTTCTGCAAAGTGTCAACTGTAGGTGACGTTACAATACCTCTCTCCAGGGGTAGAAGGATGTTGATAAGGGTTGGAAGGTAGAAGATGCTATAATCTTCTCAGTGCTAGGTACACTTAAGAGGTACATAGTGGAAAACAGGAAAGGCTGGCATGGAACCCCCAGGGTCAGGATTCTGGGGCTGGCTTCTGTACTTCTGAGCTGTGTAACCTCTCTAAGCATCAGAACATTTGTTTGTTTTAATCTATACGAGGTTAATAATTAATAATAACTCTTCTACTCATCTCCTGCAGTTATTATGAGACTCCAACCAGAAGCTATCTGTGAAGTGCTTACAAAAAGGCATTCAAACATTGGAGACGTGAATCTCGGCATCAAGGGGTTTGGGAGTCCCAGGAGGTTGCTGTCTCTGTCCCTCTCCTGTCCCCAGCACTAGACTCACCTGGTCTCTTGCCACTGATTTAAACCACACTCTGAGCAGTACCCAAGGCATGCTGCCCAAGGAAGTGGGTGGTCACTGCCTCTTTCCACGCACAAGTCTCCTGCTTCAACTCTGCCCCCTTTATGGGGACAGAATTGGGAGAAATAAAGGAAAGAAGAAAGGAGAAGAACTGGAAACACCCCTATAACCTGCAAAGATGGGTTCTTTGGGCAGAGGCCTTCGGTAGGACCTGGAGGAACTCCAGAGAGCCTGATTATTGATTGATAAAATTTGCTTTTTCCAATTTAATATTTTTCTCCTTTCTTGTTTTTAAAGCTTTCTTGTTTTTAAAATATTTTTAAAAAAATATTTTTTTTTTTGAAGGGAGAAGGGGAGTTTTTGCTTTGGACATGTCTCTTTTGCTTTCCCTTAGTTTTGAGTGAAACCTGGAAACTTCCAGCCTATTTCATCTGTGCTAAGGAGAGCAGGAAAAGGGGTTTGGGTTTTCTCCAAATTTGACCTGGACAAACAGGGCTGTGGGGAATTTTCAGTGCAGACTAGACACAGTGGATTAGAGGGAACGAACCCCTGGGCCAGGGGCCCAGGGCCCAAGATGTGGCTGCCTTGGACAATCCCTCTCCTCTCGGAGCTTGCCTCAGCCACACCATTTGGGTTTCCTGTCAGAAGGGAGAAAGTGCCCTTCCACTGGCTGCTCTCGCTGGCCTGCCTTGGACTCTGGGCCCTGCTTTCATACTCCTTTTGCTCAGGTTGCAACCATAGTGAGATCCAGACCCAGCTTTCCTGTGGGTCAAGGTCAAGTGAGAAGCAACATAGTATTCCTGGCTCCCCGGCCTTCTCGAAGCTCTGAAGGAATCATGCCAGAAGCTTATTTACAAGAGTGGGAAAACTCTACCCCTTTCCTTGAGAAAGAAGATCAATTGCTCAGCAAGAGAGCAGCAAATATCTGCATTGGACCAGTTCTTTTGCTCTTGCTAGTGAGCAGCCGTCTGATTTGCATGACATGTTTGCTTAAATATCCATCTCCCTCCTCCTCCATCAAAATGCCACTTAACTTTTCATCATGGAGAATCATTCCTCTGATCTCCTTCTTCATTCCTTTTATTTTAATAGCTAGTATTTGGAGCATTAAGCTTGTGAAAACAAATGCCCTAAGAGGAGCTTACTCATTTAGACTATTTATCACTACTATCAGCCACTGACACTTTAGTGCGAATGTCTTCACCAATATATCTATTGAGACGCTTGGGAATTCTAAATCAAGAGTGATAGGCAGAGATGGAGAAGGGAGAAGGAAATGAGGGAGGAAAAGGTCAACTCTTACTTGAAGAACACAGGCCTGACTAGAGCATCACAGCAGTACCAGATACTCAGACACTTCTGGAACATTCTGTCAAGGTCCGGCCCACCTTTTAGGTTTGATCTCTTCCTAGTTCAAAAAGAAGTCACTCTTTCTTCACTGCTCACTGTCTTACAGTGTCAAAGCTTTTTCTACCAGGAGCTAGTTTTGGGCTGTTTCTAGCAAACTAAGAACAGGGGTCTGGAATGGGTTCTCTGAGGGGAGGAGAAGGTTTTGCTGTTCCATGAGGTAAAATTTGGAGGAAACAGTCCCTGGCCTCAGGACTCCCATGGATTAGGTTAACATTCTCATCCCGGAGACAAAGCATGTCTTTGTAAGGTTTGCAAGCAAAGCTTTGATAAGACTCAGTGACCGAAAGCAGTCACTATCTGCATAGAAGAGTCCATATTGTTCCCGAGGGGGAGGAGAAAGGAGAGTGAGAAGACCAGAAAGCGGGGAGCAGAGGGGGGAGCAGAGGCAGAAGCAGGGACAGGAGCTTGGGCTGAGGAAGGAAGAGAAAGGGAAACTAAGTGGTACGGCTGAAAAAGCCGAAGGGAGAAGAGCAGTGTCTAAGAAGGGACATTTAAGGTCTGGCTTAGGTTGCGGTGAGCAATCTCATGACAGTCTCCATTGCAAATGTTTTGATGTGAGTAGGATGTTGAATGGAACCCCGGGGAGTGTTGGGATCTGCATCCAGATGGACAAAGAGACAAAACAAGAACCACACAGGGAACAGAAACCAGGGCAGAGTGGTCCTCTGAGGTGCACTTCGTTTCCTATAGTTCCTTCTTCATGTAAAGGCCAGGAGGTCTCCTTTTCATAGTCTTGGTTCCTGAAGATTCCCTCCTGATAAACATTTAGCTAGCATGTTCTCGGGGACTTGGGGTGATTCCAGCCAGGGTATCTTGCCATGCCAGCACCTGGCATTAGGGGATTGACTTGCAGCAATGAAGGGGGCTTGTCCTGACACCTTTTCACACTGTATATCAAACTAAGCCAGCTCTGAGAGTCTCAGAGGAAAATAAGATGACCTTAGACAATGGCCAAGACCGTGCACTTACTGTAGAGGTCAGTTTCGTCTAGGATCTCTGACTTGATGATCTCTTCTATGATGTCCTCCAGTGTGACAATGCCCATCACCTCATAGAAGGGGTCGCCTTCTCCCTCATTATTCACCCGCTGGACAATGGCCAGGTGAGATTTTCCTAGAGAACAAATAAAGTCACAGTTAAGCATCTGGGGCATTTTCAGAGATCTTTCCTTGTGAGAAAATTATACAAAGTTGCTTTCTCACTAATCTCAGGACTGAACTTATCCTAGGATCTCTTTAAAATACGAGGTTTGTGTACAAGCTCATATAAAAATATAAAGTTTCTTTATATTTTTACATCTGTTTCCTTTTTTAGAAAAGTTACCTAATATACACAAAGCTAGTTAAAATTTTTTCCTTTTAACCTTTACATATTAGCAATTACAGTCGACCCCTGAACAATGTGGGAGTTAAGGGCACCAACCCTCATGCAATTGAAAATCCACACTTTTGACTCTACATTCAGCCCTTCCCATTTGCAGATCCAACCATCTGTGGGTCGAAAACAGTACTGGGAATGCGAAAATACAGTTTTTGAGCCATGGTAGGTTGAATCCACAGATGCAAAACCAATGGACATGAAGGGTTGACAGTACTTATTGAAAAAAAACCCACATGTAAGTGGACCTGTGCAATTCAAACCTGTGCTGTTCAGGGGTCAACCCTATATCTAAGCTGAAGGAGAATGAATAGTCTAATTGAAAGAACAAGAATTTGGAGTTAGAAAAATTAGGTAGTAGCCTTATCCTCCTTCAAACATCTCTCATCTCCTACCCTCTCACTATCTATGCAATAGGCCCTCGTCAAATCCTTTAACCTCCACTGATTCTCAAGCTTCTCATCTAGAATTAGGGAATAATACCATTTGTTGATTTTAAAACATGCCCTCCAATTCTTTGATACACCTCTCATCGAAAGGTGTGGTCTCTATCCTCTTCCCTTGAGTCTGGGCAGGCTTGTGACTGCTTCAAACAATGGAGAACAGGAAAGTGTCTGCATGAGACTGCTGAAGCTAGATCATGAAAGGCATGTGGTTTCTGCTACAGAAGTACTCTAAGAAGTCACTATGGTGGAGAGGCCACATGTAGATTCTTAGGTGACTGTGTCAGTTTCTGCTACAGAAGTACTCTAAGAAGTCAGACCACTACCCTGAGGTCACTATGGTAGAGAGGCCACATGTAGATTCTTAGGTGACTGTGTCAGCTAAGCCTGGCCTTTCAGCCATCCCACCAAAGCACTAGACAGGTTAGCAAAGAAGCCATCTTGACAGTGGATCTACAATCTCAGCTGATTCAGCGCCCTCTCAAAAGTCCTCCAAACCCATAAAAGTCATCTCCAGTGCTGGCACAGACACTGAGAGTCAGAGATAAGCAATTCTCACTGTACCTTGTCCAAATGCCTGACGCATAGAATCTGTGAGCATAATAAAATGGCACCCATAAGGTGACTGTGGAGCTCAAATGACCTAGTGGATATGTGAAAGTGCTTTGTAAACTGTAATGTGTCATAGACAGTCAGTTAATTTTCACTGTCCAACAACTGAATAATAACAGTTACCATTTATTGAGCTCTAATGGTTATTGATTCATTTAATCCTCTTAACAATCCTTGAGGCAAGTACTATTTTTATCTCCATTTTACAGATGAAAGAACTGAAGCACAGAATGGTTAAGTAGCATACCCAAAGTTACACAGCCACTCATAAGTGGCAGAGCAGGATCGCAAACCCAGATAACTGGGTACAGTTCTAACTTAGGGACCAAGTCTTACCCAACAGTCCTGCTTCTTCACCTTGGTTTATTTTCATCTGCTGATAAATACATTTCCTGGTCCTGTTTCTAAAATAAAAATCTGGGTGGTTCTTTTCCTTATCTAAGAGACATTTAAGGAAAAACCTAGGGTACTGACTCAGATGTTGTTCTTGCAAAAAAAAAAGAAAAGGAAGTTCATGCTTTATCAGAGTTACTTTTTATAAGCTTTTGCTTGGTCATTGCTAGAAAAATATATCAAATAAGAAGAATAGTCAGTTTGCTGGAGGCAAAATTAACCATTAAAGTGGAAATACATGAGCTTCTGTATCAAATACCTCAAATCACAATAAAGCTATGTATTGGGATTTTTAATTGGAAAGATGGCAAGAGTAGGCTCTAATTTCTTTTCCACCTTCAACTTGTCCTTCAGCTTACTTTTCAACTGATCAGATCCTTCCACTGCCCTGCTCAAATACTCTTCATGGCTCCTCAGTGTGCATGGAATCAAATTCAGACTCATGAGTTTGGTATTCTCAAGACTGAAAAATGTGGCTCCCTCCCATCTTTCTAACTGCATGCCTTGCTACATCCCTAATCATTCTATATTACAGGTGCCCAGGTTACTTCCATGTCCTCAGCTTCCTCCATGTCCGTTTTCTAAGTCTTTGCTCACATTGTTTCTTTCCCCCATTCCATCTCCACTGGGCCTTCGAGTTCCAGCTCAGGCACCTGCTCCTCAAGAAAGCTCTCCTGGATATTCTCCATTCTGAAGCTGAACCAGCCTCATCTTATGGGTGTTTTTAAACCTTTGATAACACTATTAGAGCATTTTCACACACTTTATTGCTTGTCATAACTAGCAATGTATGTGCCTTCTACTGAACCATGTCTCTTCCTCAAATCATAAGCTCCTTCAGGACGCAGACTTAGATAGGGTACCTTCCATATAACAGGCAGTCAACTAATACCTGATGAATGAACTAAGACTGAATAAAAATCCATAGTGGATATAATAGATAATATTGAAACCGAACACCAAAACCTTTACTTTTTGATAAAATATAATGTGTTTAAATTAAAATTTAAGCTCTGCTTCAGTGGTTCTAAATCGTTTCTTTGAAACAACTGCATCCTACCCAATTGGACTGAAGGGTTTTATAGTTTAAATTAGATTATGCTACTTGTTAGAACATGCTCAATTTAAAGTGTTTTTTTTGTTTTTTTTTTTTCCCCAACATAGTGTTCTTACACTTATGGCACTAGTTCTCACTTTTTTGCTAACATATGCTAACAGATGACAAAACAAATGACTAGTATAATGGAAAAACTTAGAAAAGTGATTTCTTAAAATTATTTTCTATAACTGGATAATCATTGTAATGTGGAGCCCAGAATATATATAATATAGTTATACTTCCCACCACTAAGAGATTAGTTCATACAACGGGATTAAATAAATTAACATTTTATGATGTTTCACAAAGAGTACCATAACTTCCACATGAATATCTACCATTGGTCTACACTTTATAAGGTCAATTTGAGGACACAGTACGTGATCACCAGGGAATAGAGATTTTAAGTCCTAATTTTATAATATCAAGACAATATGCTTATGTAACCTCTTTAGAAACATTTTGTAATCCTCAATCAACCTTTATGATCCCCTCAAGTGCCTATAGAGATCTACAAACAAATGAAAAAGTCATTCTTTCTTAGGGTCAGACTGGAACAGGAATTAGCAATCACATAATTCTTTTCTGAGCTGACATGGGGACAAGAAAACCAGCTGTTCCCATGATACACATATCTGAGGTTCTTCCTCTCTCAAAAGAGTTGGCCTTTGAGAGATGTATCTCTTTGTACCCCTCCTCTTCCTGAGCCCCAGAACTGATGGGGATGACCCCAAAGGAAGCCAGTCTTGAAACATGGAAAAGTTAGTTACTCCCTCCTGCCATAGCATTTTGAACGTAGCTCTCTATTAGCATTTATAAGAACAACAATAATATCTATTATTATTGTAGCAGCCACCATTTGCTGTACACACACTAGGGGCCAGGCACAGTGTTGAGCATCATACACCATTATTTCACCAAGTTGTTGTTCTCTATTTATGTGTCATCCCCCCACCATGATGGTAAGCTCTCGGAAAGGCAACAGGTATGTTCTACTTATCTTTGTTTCCCCAGAATCTTGAACAGCGCCTGGCATAGAGTGAGAACTCCATAAGTAATGGGTGATAACTAGATATCCATATGCCTACCTCACACTATACACAAAAATTAGTTCAAAATGGACTAAATGCTAAAATGTAAGGGTGAAAACTACAAAAATTTTGGAAGAAAATGTTGGAGTAAGTCTTTGTGACCTTGGAGTAGGATTTTATTTTTTTTTGGTAAGACTCCAAAAGGACAAGCAATCAAAGGAAAAGCAGTACACAAACTGGACATCATCAAAATTAAAAAGAGACACTATTTTTAAAAAAGTGAAAGGCAACTTACAAAATGGGAGAAAATATTTGCAAATCATTTATCTGATAGGGAACTCGAATCCAGAATATATCGACTCATAAAAACATAACTCAATTAAAAAGTGAGCAAAGGATGTAAATAGACATTTATCCAAGAAGATATACAACTGGTCAATAAGCACATGAAAAGATGCTCAATATCTTCATCATTAGGAAAATACAAATGAAAACTGTAATGAGATATCACTTCATACCCACTAGAATGGTTATAATTAGAAAGACAGACATTAACAAATGTTGATGAGGATGTGGATAAATTGGAATCTTTAGATTGCTGGTGGAATTATGAAATGATCCACCTGCTTTGGAAAACAGTCTGGCAGTTTTTCAAAATAGTAAACATAAATTATCAGCAATTCCACTCCTAGGTTTACACCTAAGAGAAATGAAAACATATGTCCACACAAAGATGTATACACAAATGTTAACAGCAGTATTACTCCTAATTGCTAAAAAGTGGAACAGTTCAAATGTCCATCAATTGATGAATGAATAAACAATATGTGGTATATCCAAATAATGGAATATCATCTGGCTATAAAAAGGGAATGAAGTATTGATACAGGCTACAACAGGGACAAACTTTGAAAACATCATGCTGAGTGAAAGAAACTAGACAAAAGGCCACACATTGTTTGATTCCATTTATAAAACTTCCAGAATAGGTTAAACTATAGAGAAAGTAGTTAATCATTGCCAGGAACTAAGGGAAGAAGGAAATAAGAACTGCTTCATGAAAAGAAAATAAGCTGAAATGAAGAGCAATGCTGGTTTGGACATGGTGGTAATGCTGGTAAGATGCTAGTTCAGAGTACCTGGTTGTCATTTTGTGCT